AGGTAGATAAAACCAACATCAAATTTAAGTTTGTCATCATATATGCTAGTTTGGTCTCGTGGCCTTACCGTTCGCCGCCGTTTGTACGTAAGGTCGGCGGTTCAAATCCCAAGCCACTATTTTTTTTTTATATTTAAACTTTTTAATTTTAATATCGAAGCACATGTAATTAAATTCTATCGCCGTAGTTATTAGGTACTTTTTGATATTGCCTTGGACTAATGAGTTTGACCGTTAAAGTACTTTTCTATTTCAAACAAAAATGAAGGAGATAAAGCGATGCTATTGGCATGTAATTTGTTTATTACTCATGTTTGTTAAACTTGTACCGGTAAAAATAACACTTTTACCTTTTACTGATACTGATTATATTTAAGAAACAAAGAAAAAAAACTGAATGTTAATATCCAAACTACATCAAATTTTTGGCCGATTGCAATAAACATTCCAGTGTGCGTGGGCGCGCACACATATGTAGATAACACTTGTACGTATAGTTTCCGCGCGTACCATTCTTAAAACCCGCAAAGACAATCCACGCTCCGCCCACTCACTTCACCCGCGATGGTCTGACCTAATTGTTGTTAACTTTATTTAAATTTCTTTCTACCCGACAGCGAAAATTATAAAAAAAAAATTGTCGAGCAAAATTTTACATTACCAATTTTTTACTGGTTATGAAAAAATAACCCCGTGATTGATAAAATGAAAAAAAAGTAGCCTGAGATTCGAACCGGTAAACTTACATATTACGGCAAACATACTAGAATACTGCGCCAATCTAGTATTATATATATTGTGACAAGGCAAAATTTGATATTAGTTAATACGTATCTGTCATATTCGGCGTGACAAACTTTTATAATATATTTAAGCGTTATGACAGGAGAAGAAAAATATTGGGTTGCCCAGTAAGTTCGTGCCGCTTTATAAGGAAAATTGAAACCCTGTTCTCTTAAATTTTTGGAAATGTTTTTAAATTATATTGGTACGACTCTATACCTAAAACGTCTTTTATTATTGGATAAAATTTTAAAAATTAGTTTTTATCTCAACCAATGAAATGAAATTATTCACAATATAGAAATTTTTGTGACGTTTGATAATGGTGGAAATCCGAAAATGAATCCACTTCAGCTACAGTCTATTGTAAGCTTTATATCGAAAATCAGAACGAACTTTCCGGACAACCTATAATGTTAATACAAAGTGTCAAATGAATGTAACAGAAGTAGCTTATTCCAAATTGTATCACAAGTATATAGAGATAGAGTTCAATTTTGTCAAATGTACCGATATTTTTGAGCACCTTGACTGCTTCGTTACTTATGACGCTGTGGCTGCTACGATATTTATGAGCATCTTGCATGTACTCATATATTTGACGCTGTGTATGTACCGATGTATTTGAGCAGGGTGAATGTATCTATTATTTTGAGGACTTTTGTTGTACCGATATAATTGAATACTTTTGGTGTACCTATATATTTGCATATCTTGTCTGTGACGATCTATATGACGCTGACTGTACTAGTTTGGAATGTTCGTCGATTTTTTATATAAATTTAATTGTTGGGTAGAATTTGTATTTTAAATTAATTAACGATCTCTGTATTAATTGGATAAAATATGTATTTTCGTGTAATATCGTTGAAAAGTTAATTTTAATAACAAAATAATGAACTATTAAATTCATTTTAAATGTAACATTCACTTGCACTAAATGGTTTAGCTGATACGAGGTTATACAGTTTTAGAACTAAAAAACTGCCAGTTGCACAGCTTTTTTTGAGTGTTAGTGAAGCCAAATAGTTTTTATTTCTAATCAGGATCACAAGTATGTTAGAAATCGTCTTAAGAAAATTAACATCAAATGCGTATGTATAATATGACGTCACAATAATAACATCATCGAAATGAGGGATGTGAATAAGACCAAAAAATGGTCGATTTTCAATAAAAATTGAATAAAAACACAATTATCGTTGTAAGGCAATTTAGTTTTCAATATAAGACAATTTTTGCGTACAGAGACAATATGACTTTTTTAGCTGTCAAAGTGACATATTGTGACGTTATAAGAACAGTGTTGCCAGATTAAAAGTTTGATACCGATTGAACGCAAGCTATAGTAATCGTTATCTACCTCAGCCAAAAATCGGTTGCGGCAAATAACTTGATATGCACACGCATCGAAACCAATGTTTTATAATAAAATATCTTTTGCATAGCCTTAGGTTAGTGAATAGTAATAAATAACATTGCTCAGTAGCCCATATATTTTAGTATTTTAAATAAAAATAACCGAAATACAAATAAATCAATTACATTGCATAATTTTACAACGGTTGTAGTTATAGAACAATTACAGTATGAAATATAGCGGCGGAATACTCCATAGCTTTTTATACAGTTAGATTTTCTCTTATGTAGGTCTATGAAATAGTATTTATCTTATAATAAAAATCTTTGAATCACACAAATAGTCTTTCCAAGTAGATTTAAAAATGTGATCGTTTATCAAAACTGTTTCCTTGTACGGCAGAATCATAAAGGTCTTTTATAGTCAGAAATACGTAGATAGAAAAAAGTTAAGTCAACATTCCCGCTTTAAAATCATCTTGTCAGAATTATTTTATTCACATGCTGTACGTCAAAATTGGCAATATCTTTACTCAAAATATGCGCTATATTTTTTTCATTTCCAACTAGTCAATATTTAAGTTTCCCGCCAACATTGACAATCATCAAGACAGTTCAAAAATTGTCATTTTATTATAAAATCGTGATTATTTTATAATTCGTGGAATAACTTGGTTGTGGTTTTTTCTATCGCATATGTTTTGCTGTGCTTTTTTAAAGTCAAATTGTTATATTTGGCGTATTTTCTAATTGTCATTGAATTTATTGTTATGACTTTTTCTGATAAATCTTACTTTTAATATTAAATCTTAATTTTCTGTGTGTTTGCTACTTCTCGAATACTTTTTCAATTCAGTTATATTTTTCGAGTAAATTGTTATTGGTAAGAACGTCAAGTGATCATATTTTGCACAAAACTTCAATAAACTTTGGACTGTCTTACATTATAACTTTTCGAATCGAATATTTTAAAAATAAATGTTGCAATTTAAGAAAAAAAAAACAATAATTTAATCGCGCTTTTGCGTTAGTTTTATCTCTTCGTGTAAGGCGACCAGGGAAATATATTAAGTTCTACTTTTTTATTGAAACTAGTATAAATGTTTAAAACGCAATGTGAGAAAATATAATTTTACATATCGTCCTTAAAATGTTAGCAACTGAAAATTTAACAATAAGTAAGTTGTGGACGAAATGACCATAAAAAAACTGCAATTTCCTTGTATTGAGCTTTGTATATGTATTTAAATATATAAAAAATAACATTCTAAGACATCACATTACGATTGTTTTAAGTTTTAACGAAAACTGATCAGTTTTTCGTACTTAAAAATATTAACCATAATCAAATTCATATTTTTAGGGTGGCAACATTCATGTTCGTAGAAGATTTTCGTTTTTTAATTTAACTTTTTACGAATTTCGAGTATTGCTCTCTACTTTCATGGATATTGTCAGCGTCATTGAACATTCAATCATTCATAAATTGCCTTTTAAACGAGTTACTTATGATTTGAATTAATATTTTGTACCATACGGCACTGTGATATTAATAACGAATGCTATGTCATGTAATAAACACACAATACTGCGATTAAACTATCAAACCGAATGAAATCTACTTCGGTAATTATTTTTGGTACTATAATAAGTACGTTAATCATATATTATGTTCTTTTAATCACGGGCTTCGATAACTGTTTGTTAAAAAAGAATACTCTAAAAAATATAGCCATCATTGTCTTTTACTTTGACAGAAAAGAGACAGCATGTTTTAACATTAAGGTTACATCAGTTTGACAGTAAGATGTGTGTATTACATGACAAATGGCGCCCAATTTAAATGTACAATGGAATATCAATGTTGAAATCTTTCATATGAATAATATTCTAAATAATTGAGGTTGTAATTAATTTTTACACGGTCACTTATACGCTAAATATAGTTTTAGTTTAAGCGCACGAATTTATAATCTCTAATCTCTGTTTTGTGTAAGTTGGCAGTATGAAAGAGAGAAACACAGGGAGTGTATATTTTCATAATGTTGGTAGACTAATTACACTTTTGCCTAAAACGTCGTGAATGTACACAATGTGATACACGATTTATGTATTTAATAAATAATTGATTTGTCATAATCTCGTTTTATTTGGTTTTTCCTTTTATTATTATTTGTTGTTTGAAAAGTTTTTATTCGTTATATTTATGACCACAACATAACTACAATTTAATAACTTTTGCGTCAAATTGTAACAGTTGGAATATTTTCCCCTCATAAAATATTTGTCATAATGAAGTTTTGATAAATGTTTTGTTTGCTAATTCCCACCTATAGTTTCTGAACAAAAGCAATTAAAATTGTAATTTAAGCGAATTATTAAAGTTTGACATACAGCGTGTCTCAAATAAGTCCACCTATAGTTTATACATGGGACGCTATCCATTTAAAAACTTATTGCAATATTTGCTAGAGGTAAACTTAAATCTTAGTAATTAAATCTTAAATCTTTTACAAGTCACAGGATTTTTTTAGCTAAATTATACTAATATTAAATTATAAGTACGTCCGTTTTATAATAATCACACGAAAGTATAAACAATTTAAAGTTTTAAAGACAGTTTTGGAGTCATTTTATACAAATATGAAAACTCATGCTTTTAAGACATGTAGAACAGACTCAAAAACAACAGCCTGTATACGTATCACATAGATATAATAAGGAATTCGCTGGAACTAAAACCTCAATCTCACAGCAATGGCAGTAAACGGTATCAACCTATTTTTCAGTCGACCAAAGAGAGTATTAAAAGCCCTAGGGATATGGCTAACACCTAAAAAACCTATGTTTTTTCACTCATTTTATACCGCCTTTATAATGCTAACACAATATGCATTTATACTTTTTGAATTTATCTACATAGCTGGTGTATGGGGGGACATAGAAGCGATGTCTGAGGCGTCCTATCTGCTTTTCACGCAAGCATCCGTCTGTTACAAAGTAACCGTTTTTCTTCTTAGTAAAAAGAATCTTAACATCCTAATAGACTATATGGAAATAGATATTTTCTTACCACAAACGGAGGAACAAGAGAAGTGAGTTTTAAAAAATATATTTGTTTGTTTTATGGACTGTATTTAATGGAACCGATATATTTTAGTATTCTGGTAAAACTTTCGGGACAGATCAAGAGACTGTGCATGTTTTTTCTGACTAGCGCTCTGACGACTTGTACGCTATGGGCTCTAGTACCTCTACTTGATGGTACTGGCGAAAGGTTTTTTCCATTTAGAATATGGTAAGTAATAAAAAAATCATCTTTCACAATAATGTAAAAATAATGTCCTTGAAAAATACTCTTTTGAAATTGTATTTTGTGAGGGCAACACATAACTCTTAAACTCTTTGGCAAGTTTTTTACTTTAAAACTTTGTCTATGAAAAGTAAAAATGGTCTTTATAATTTAAGTCCACCAGAAAAGTTACAAAAATTGCGATTGTGATCTACTCCGCAGCGATATAAAAAAACACAATATTGATTCTAAGTTAAATGTTTAAAAATAATTACGTGGATAAAAAAAGGATCATAAAAACGTATTATCTTTAGGATGCCTTTTGGGCCGGAGAAGTCACCTCAATTTGAAATCGGCTATGGCTACCAGATGGGAAGCATCTACATCAGCGCCTTTCTGTTTTTTGCGGTTGACAGCATCACCCTCGGAATGATCATGTTCGGCTGCGCACAACTAGAAATTATCATTGATAAACTACAGAAGGTTGGCTGTTTTCTAAATTATTTTTACACTATTTCTATGACGATTATTTTAATTAACTACTTTAGCTACAAACAAAGAAAATCCCGTTTATTTCTAATACAAAATGTGTCCCGTAATAGCAGTAATAATGTGTAATATTAAATTAATTCAGATGCAATCAGTGCCATTATCTTCAAAGGTAACGGACGAGCAACGAACCATGAGAATTATGAACAATAACAAATTATTTGTCGAGTGCATTGACCAACATCAGACGATTATTAGGTAAATAATAAACCCCTTTTTTAAATGATAAAAAAATCAAGGTAATTATACTAGTAGCAGCAAAAGAAAACTTTACCACAAAGATACAGAGATGACGTTACACTCAAAATCCTTTTAAGTGTTACTTAAGCTAGATCTTACTTAGATTTCTCTCAATAAATGTACAATTAGTAGTACCTACTACCTTAACGACCATTTAACCTATCTGAGTGTGAGAGTAAGACCTTCATCGCATTGACGACCTTTTTTGCAGATTCATAGAAATAGTGGAAGATACGTACCACGCAAATATATTTTTCCAATTAAGTGGTACTGTTGCTATTATCTGCATTATTGGACTACGTATTACTATGGTTTGTATAAACTTCTGGAAATATAACCGCTTTTGTGGCAGGTTACGTGATTTAATATAAGCACATTAGGTTTTTAATATTTTTTGTTAATTTTAAAAGTCGGAGCCGAGCAGTATTCAATTCTATTCTATGCTGATCTACATGGTGACAATGCTGTCGCAGCTACTTCTGTATTGCTGGTGCGGAAGCGAGCTAACTACAAGGGTAATTATAATGACATCATATGGGTCCCTGCATTTAAATAAAAAAAGTCAAAGAGGCAAATTATTCAGGATGACACATGCACAGATAAAATAATTGGAGTAACTAATTCGTATCAATCTAAGCAATCTTAAGTGAATAGAAATATTGCTATATTACTTTCAGAGTCAAGAATTAAGAGACTCCTTATATCAAAGTCCATGGTACGAACAAGATAGAAAATTCAAAAAGTCACTGTTTATAACAATGGAGTGTATGAAGAAACCTATTGTGTTCAAGGCTGGTCATTACATTCCGCTCTCTAGACCTACATTTATATCGGTTGGTGTTTCAGCTCTAATCATTTTAAAGCAAACTTGTACGCTCAGTTCTCGATCTCTTCCTTGTAAATAATTCAATTTACATCTTTTCAGATTTTACGTTCATCCTATTCATTTTTTGCGGTATTAAATCAGACGCGCAATTAAAAAAGAAACAGAAAATTGTTTTACTTAACCATACTTAACTGTATACATATATGAATCGTTAATCAATACTTTTGCAGTACGTTGATCATATACCACATATATACTTCATATGACCAATAATATTTAATAGTTTAATTAATAAAAAGTGTTTCCTTTACTTTCCTTTCCTTATCCTTTATTATTAACTGTTCTGTGTCTTACAAGTTTTAGGGTTCAGATATTAAATAGTAGAGTAAGTATTCAAGGAGCCAGGAAAAGCAGAAGTGGAAACTGCAAACTATTGTCATGTTCGAAAACTTTAATCTGACTCAACTATCGGTTCGAGCGAAAACAATTTAATGGTATTGGTATATTCTGTGACATCAATATGATGTGTCAAGTTGTCAAAATCAGCTTACGTCAGTAAAAGAAATGTCAACATGATAGCGGAGTACAAGAGTAATTTCTGATAAACAATTTTAGCGAATTTATAAAAAGGTGCCTTTGTAAAGCAATGTCGTTACCTCGTTAGAATGGACAAGAATAACACCGATTTTACCTTGCCGCCGGCACGAGGCTTATGTTTCGATCGGAATGATTTCATCAAGGTATTACTCATTATTTGTGATTAAAAAGTATTATTACAACTTAAGAATTTTATTTATGCCTTTAAAATTGTTGCAGACAAACTTTTCCGTCGATACTTTTCTTACGGATCATCAAAATGTGGCCTCCTTGGAGAAAATGCGTGACGACCTAGGCGTGTATCTCAAAGTGTTAAGGCTGGCTATGATAGAGTTAATTAATAAAGATTACGCTAACTTCGTTAATCTATGTGCTACGTTGATTGGTTTTGATAAGGCGATAGTTAAAATTCAAGTGCCATTAGAGCAGCTAAATGAAGAAGTTGTTGTAAGTTGCAATATACTTTTTATTATACAATAAAATAATTTCTAGGCATGATATGAAATGACGTTGTTGATTTGCGCTGTATTACATTAATAATATTTAATTTTCATTTACTTTTAGAATGTGAAACAATGTTTAGAAGATGCAATGAAAGAGTTATCAATTTGGCTTAACCAAAGACACAGCCTGTTGAAGAAGAAACAACTTCTCAAACACTACAGCCAGACAGTAAATAGTTTAAGAACATTGGAGACTATATTTAGAGACATTTCTGACAAGAAAAAATTGGAGCAAATAATTGTAGCCGAACGCACTGCCTTATTATACAATCAATTAAAATTCACATTTTCTACATGTGAAAACTTACTTAGTTCTGAGCAAAAGGAATTATACAATGATATAGGTGGAAAATTAATTCAAATTCTAAATACATTGCTGTTTCATTTTTGGAATGAAAATGATGAAAATAATCTTTTAAAAACATTATTAATTTTGACAACATTAGACCGTATAAAAGAAACAGAATTATTAATACGAAAGCAAGCAATAGCTCCTTTATTACAGGACATCATCAATGAACCAGCGTTGCAGAGAAGCAAGGATGGTTTGGAAGGCATTTACAATAAAATAATGGCATTATTGGATACAAAACTGAAACTGTTTTTAACAGTAATGCAACATTCCACTTTAACATTTCTTGCTAAGAAATATAGATTTTTAGTAAATTGTTTTTGGTGCGAAGTGGAGAGTAGAATAGAAGTGAATTTAGCCTCTATTTTTGCACCGGGTAATCCACAATTATTTTATAAGAGATATAGTGAAAGTATACAGTTTGTCCGGAAATTAGAAGAATATTGCATTGCTGAAGGAACTGTCCAATTATTACATGATACGTTAGAATACAAGCGTTTTCAAAAGAGGTGGAATTTGCCAGTATATTTTCAAATAAGATTTCAGGAGATTGCAGGTGAAAACCTTAAAAAATATAATTTTCTGTTTAACAAATACCTATGAATAATCTAATATGTTATTCTTTGTAGGTGGTTTTGAGTCCTCATTGAAAAAGAGTCCAACAGTTGAGAACAAAGATGGGTTTATTCATAAAGAAACATTAAAATGTTGGGTCAGTTTGCACAATTGTTGGTCAGATGGTATCTACATAGAAGCATTGGCACATAAATTCTGGAAGCTTTCATTACAGTTGCTGGCCAGATATGCATCATGGACGACAAGTGTTTGTTCACAGGTTGTTAATTATATTTCTTTTATATTTATAGACATATATAAGTACCAGGGTAGCATGATTTGATGAAACATTGCTACAAACTCGGGTTGTTTTAAGTGAAGACTAATTTGCAGTAGATAATATTATGAAATTGTTTCAGCAGGATTCCATGCGAAAGTTGGAAACAACTGGCATAAACGCCACATTGATAGACAACAGTTTAAACATCTACGTAGACACGCAAACGTTGTTGCAGAAACTACCAAACTTTCTAGCACATGTTGAAAGCAAAATACCAATCGAAAAGAGTAAACCTCTGCTTAGAGAAAGCTTAAATTCTTCCATAGAAATCTTAAAACAAACTGAAAGTAAAATAAGGGATTGTATTGTGAACGAATTGTATGAGAATTTCAATATCCAATTGAAACAAGTTAGTGACATACCAAGACTCTATAGGAAAACTAACCGTAGTATACCTACCAAGCCTTGTGCTTATATTGATGTGGTTACAAATTCACTTAGAGATTTTAACGAGGGTGCAGTGAATAAAGTAGATAATTTGTTTTTAATAGGACTTTATGAAGCTTTATTTAATGTTATGACCATTTCGTAAGTATTCAATACCATTTATTTTTGTTGTAATTTTTATACGTAAAGTTTTCCTGTACGAAAAGTACCAGTTGATAATTCTTAATATCTGCTTACTCTTCTGCATTACGGGCGTAATTCTATTATCTTAAATTGACAAAATATCGACTGATCTATAATGCAAGACTAAATTTATTTATTTAGTTTAAATTTTTTTGTGTGACCTTTTTTTTCTCTATGATTACAGATATTATAAATATGTAGAAGATGTTTTAACCTCAGTGCAGAAAACCGAAGAATCATTGAGAAGACTGAAACAAATACGTGACATGGCCTCACAGCAGAATATTGAGAGCACCGGTACAACGGATGGTGATAAGATCCGTTTGCAACTCAATGTAGATGTGTTGTCGTACACAAGGCTGGCCCAGTCTCTATCCGTTGAAGTATATAAGGTACACAAGTTCAATGAACTTTCCTCTATGATCACTGAAGCTGTAAAAAATATAGAAATTAAATGATATCCCAGTTATACACATTATTTGTTATTTTTCTTTCCCGGTCCTGTCTGGATAGAGGTAATCATAATTTTTATTCTATGTTAAATAATTATTTTGTTATTGTTTGTATTACATTAAGGTTTTAAGGATAACCAATGAAAAGCGGAACATTTTATAACATAAACATTGTATTTGATCTGCCGAATAAAAATTGTATGATTTGAAAAAATAGAAACCATTCATTCACTTATCACTTAAAGTAATAAACAAAATATATAACTAATGCTATTTGTGAACAAAATATTTCAAGATAGTGTTGGGTTTTGCTTTGTTCATGGTTCTAGGACTACTTCTAGGCAACTCTGAATTGGATGGATTCTTCCACATGGCCTTAAGCTCTTGTTGCATCTCATCAGGTAAGGCATTAAAAACTTCTTTATCAACATAACTTGGACAATCATCACAATTACCAGCATCGGAAACATCTTTCATTGTGTCTGTATCAGAAATTTCTTTAGCAGGGCTCGCTCTTGGTGTGAGAGATCTGTCTCGGGAGTTAAGTCTTAACTCGGAAACTTTCTCCAGCTCCCTAGAATTTAATCTGAGTTCACTCACTCTTAACTTACTAGGAGATGCAACTTCCCCTTTTGACAAACATCTCTTTTTAGCTATCCAATTCACTTTTTTAGGCTTTTTCGGTGATGGTTCCACTTCAGCATCAGAAAGGTCTGTCGTTGTACTGCTACTAGGAGATGCTGCTGAGTAGTCCATTGAGGAAGCAGAAGTATCGCAATCATTCGTGATATTAAGCACTGATTGTACTGATATATCATTCATTAAATAATTTACAATAGAACCTCGACCAGTCATTCGTTCCTGAAACTTTGTAAAAGCCAGTCCTACTAATGTCAAATGGAATGGTTTGCTTAAGTCAATGAGTTTGTTGAATAATCTCATAATTGAGGTCATTAACTTTTGTTGCCCCACTTCTGTTACAGTGGGTGTACCATTGTTTATGGTAAAGATGGAAGGAGAAACCTGACACTGCCTAGACTCTCTGTGACTACATAATCTCTTGACATCTTTCTTTCTTAAAGTCACTCGCAGTGAAACTGGAATCCGCCCATCTTCTCTCACCAACACAAGTAACCTTTGTAGCAAGGTAGCAAATCTTTCTTCAACCTCACTCTTCACACTGACAGTTTTGAAACTATCTTCTAGGCCTATACTCTGAGGTTTACCTGTTTGCTTCACTGGAGTATTATCTTCACCTAAACTAAGGTTTTTAAGTCTTACTGCCATGTCACTACTAAAATGTTTTTTCAATACATCAACAGAAACTTGCTGCAAGTCACTCACTGTAACTATTTTTTGAGATATAAGTGCCTCAGTTGTTTTAGACCCAATACTTGGAATGGCCCGGACACTTTGCAATGTGGACATAAAACTGGACCCATGTTCTGGATAAATTGTTGTTTGGTCATTCGGTTTGTGGAGTGGACAGATTAACTTAGCTAACAATTTGTTGTGTGCAATACCAGCACAAGTTGTAAAACCCAACTCATCAAATAGTTTCTTCCTCATCTCACTGGCAATTTGTGATGCGACTTTGAGGCGCGTGTGACATCCACATATACATTCACTCATTGGCTCGCTGTACACACGACCTACAAGTGCAAACCCATCACCACCATTCCTAACTCGTTCCTCAACTATATTTGTGACATCTATGAAATTCTCATCCATTCCAAGTTTTTCAACTGGACACTTCCAATGTTGAAGTGCAGTGAATATATTATTAGAGGCCGTCCTATAGTTGTGCAAGTCTTCACCATTCAGTAATTTCAAACTAGGACAAACTTTCAGAGCATCAGTTACAAGCATACACTTCTTTATACCAAATTTTCTGGCTTCGTAATTACTGGTTACGACGATGTTTTTTTGTTGAATACCAAGAGGTTGGGAGCGCAGCTCGGGTTTTCGCACCATCTCCACTTGAGCATAAAAACAGTCTACATCGATGTGTATGATACTCTTAGGATGATCGCTGCTGACCGATGAATGGTTGTAACAACTAGAGCTGCTTGATTCCATAATTCTGCGAATAAGACACATAGTTTAAAGAAAAATCACTTTGTTCTCTGTTGGTTGTTACCTGTTGCGATGTAACTTTGAACTATTTATCAGACGCTCACCTATCGTCCATGGAAACTTCATTGAAAGACGGAATAGTTATTATCCTTTGTAAATATGAAAAGTTTGTTAAAAATTATTGTTTTTCTTTCATAAATTCCAAAATATTGATATTTTATATTGGACAATCACGACACATCAACAGAGATGATGTTACCATAAAAAAATATTAAATAGCGGCACTTTTGGCATAGACTAAAAATAACGGGACTTTACGAACTTTGGTGACATTGTTGTAATAAAATCGGGACTGTCCCTTTATGATTTAAATAACAATCCTTACAAATTATAACATAATCTAGTATTTACCCATACGTCTTTATAGTTTTACTCACTTTATACAGTACTTTATTTGTGTCTAAAGTCTAAATGTGAGACGCCTGGACGAATGTAGAGTATTATGGAATGTTAAGTGTAGACTTAAGTATACGTCTTTCAGTGCGAATAAGTTGTTAAATAAAATTCATAATAGTTAAGTATTGAAATATACAAACAAAAATCAATATTTTTAAATAAATCTTGAAAAAGATACTTTATGAAAAGAAACGTGGCGAACGTCAGGTCATGTTATTGTCATTTTCATTTTGACATTTTCAAGAAAGTGGGTGTTCAGCATTGTAATCGAACAAATAAACAATATTCTTCATTACAAAGAACCGTAATGATCTCTTGAAGCTCTAGAGATGGAGGGCTTACCTTCAGGAGATATACAGGCAAAGTACCAAAAGTTGGCATCTGAATATTCAAAGGTACAGAATAAAGATCAAATATCAAGCGGCTTTTTGAAGCAAGTAATTGTATAAATTTATTGTTTCCGCTTTCAGTTAAGAGTTCATGTGAAGGTTTTAAAAAAAGGAGTTCTAGATGAGCAAGCTAAGTCGAATGAACTGAGGGAAGTATTAAAATCTAAGGAGAAAGTTATAAGGCAAGATGAATTAGAAATAGATTCATTGACTTTTAGAAATCAGCAATTGACGCGTCGCGTGTCCGTCCTTCAGGATGAGCTCGATGCTTTGCAGGTCAGTGAGCTTGCAACAAAGCATTTGATTATAATCACACTTATCTTTTTGAAATTGAATTACATTTATATCATCGTTTTAGCAAACAATGTAAGAGTATTGTTAAAGTTTTTCCTAACTATGTAGTTGTTTTATCATGTCTTTTATTTTTAACATGTTACTTTCAAAATCTATAAGCCACAAATCAATAGATGGTTCCCATTTCATTGCATACCTATCAATGTTTTACAGAATAAGTTAAGTAAGAAAACAAAAAGTAAAAGTGATGAAAAACAATCAACCAGCTCTGTGCCTGCACCACTCGATTCTGGTCTGCTGCAGGAGGAGCTACAAAAGAAGATTATTGAAAATGCACAGCTTGCATCACAGGTATGACCAGAAACAATACTTATTTTGACAACAGACAAAATAAATAAATCCGCTGTAAAAATATGATAATTACTAGCTATTGCCTGCGACTCCATCTGCAGAATTAAAAAATAATTATTATAAGCCTAAGTGCCCTTCCAAGTTATGTTACATATATACCAAATTTTAGCGAGATTCATACAGGTGTTCTGGAGATACCTTCCAACAAACATCCATCCAAACATTTGCATTTATAATATTAGTAAGTACTATAAGATACTACATTAATCAGCAGGAAAGTAGAAGTAGTGTTCTTCAATTACTTTATAAGTCAAATTTGATCAAACTTAATAAGTAACCAGGTGATTATTAGCTTTCAGATAAGACTTTTGAAGTGGCTCAACTCAGAGCCTCCTTAGAAGACTATCAAAAACACTTTAATGAAAGTGAAAGTAGATATAAATGTGAGATAGCTAAACTGAAGAATAAAAACCAGGAGATACAATTTACATTAGAAGAGTTGCAGAAAGATAGAAGTGGCAACAGAGCTGTACCTACAGGCAGTCAAGCAAGTTGTAACGGTGACTTCTTGTCAGAGGCTGGTAGTCTGGTAACATTAATATTTTGTATTCTAACTTTATTTGTTTATTTATTTATTTACTTATTAACTCTTAATGCTATCATAATACATAAAAAAAAGACAATTAACTAATTTACAAAGCAAGGGTGGCCTTATCGCTACAAGCGATCTCTTCCAGGCAACCCAGTGGGACAGGAAAGAATAACATAGATAGAGGGGATTATAACATATAAAGATCAGGATATGTCAAGAATAAATAAATAAGAGCAAGAATTATTAACAATATATATATATATATACTAGTTACCTATGGATCTACTAAACAAATTAAGCAACATAAATATATAATATACATGAATACACGAACCTATGAATACAAATATATAAATTATAGGAAAGCAGAAAAATAAACTTAGTGAAAGGCTTTATATGTATTAAAAGTGCATAGATATTTGGTTTTGATTTGTTTCTTACCACACTAACATTTTCTCACTTTATGTGGGGTCGGTGCACCAAGTTTTTCACCGGAATTCCCCTGACAAAAAGATCTTTTATTTTTCGTTTTGCGCTGACAACCTGGTCAATGTTATGGAGATTATCGTAAAATCCTTTCCTTCTAAAATTAACTTTTTTATAAACATGAATAAACTTCCCATAATACTGAAAAAAAATTTACTACTCTTGAATCTGGGTAAGCAAGAATCCAATGGACCGCTTTTCTTTTTGCTTATAAAAGTTGTCCATCAAGACTGGTTTCTTGATTGTTCAGGTTTAACATATAGATATAATAAATAAAATTTTCAGATTGGCAGTGAGGATGCTCTTAGTTCTGTAGATGAGTTAAACATCAATGAACAGCTCAGTACAAAAGCACTCACTTTAGATCAGGTAAAAAAATATTGGTTTTTTCTCAACACATACCAGAGAGAAAGAATACAAGCCTTTAAAATTCTAAATATAGAGTTATAAGGATCATATTCCTTTATTTTAGGAGAATCAGAAACTTCGAATGGAGTACGAGATTTTGCAGATGGAGAATGAAAGCCTTAAATTAGAAATAGCAAAGCATGTGTCTGCCGCTCAGAAGAGGAAAGGAGAGAGTCATGATTCTGGAGACTTCAATACATTCAATGAGACCTCGATGGATGCAGAGGGAAGGATGACGGGACTCCTTGGTAGTTTAGAGGTATATTAATATTTTCGATGATTATAAAATTAGGTATAGTTAAGGCTTCAGGCTATTATGTGACTAAGTTCAGCGGTAGGTTGTTTTTGTGACCTTTGTGGTGTAAAGTGGCACCTCTTTGTGCTTTGCCTGTTCAATTATAAAGTATTGTTTTTAGTCTATCACGGAGACATTAAGGTTAAGTCAGTTTTTTGGTTGTTTGGTCCAGGTCCCGTTCCTTCTGAACCATGAGGTGCAGGTACGTGAGGAACGCGTGAAGCAGTACTTCCGCAGCAGGTTGAGCGCCGCGCACGCGGACCGCGACCTTCTCAACAGCAAGACTGAACATTATATTAATGAGGTAAGTAGGACCTAGTAGTACTTAAACCCTTTTTCCACTTAGCTTAGCATAGTAATGAGGATAGTGTACTGATAAGTAGACAAAAGAATTTGATTTAGATGCTTTGTTAGCTATTTATATGCATAAGGTATGTTGCGTGTACTGGTAGTGAAAATAGTATGCGAAATCGCGCTAGTGGAAAACGAACTTTCGATTTTAACTAAAATATTTCTAAATATTAGGTCGGAAATATGAATATTTTTCGTACTTCGGTATAATATTATGTGACAAATAATTGACTTTTAACTTAGAATTTTATGAAATTTTGACAGCTGTCAGTACAATACAATTAGTGATGTGAATCAACATTCTCGTACCGATTTCAGTGTGAGATGCTGCGACTGCGTTTCGAAGAGATGGAACGCCAGAGAGAGACTGACGCGCATACGATTGAGGAGAAACACAACACTATTAGCAGATTGGTTAGTTTCTTTTTCTTTTAACTTGATAACAAACCAATTTTCATTGCTTTAAATTAGCTTACCTTTTAAGAGATATGAAACAGCAATATGTTTTGGGGAGATTTTATAATATTTATTTTTTAAATTAATGACTTAGAATTGTTTTTTTTTAAAAGCGAATATAACGCTTTACTCTTTGAAATGAGTGAAGTCTTTTAGTGGAATAATTACTACCCATTTATAATTAATTGCGTTGTATTTAGGAGGAGGAGCTGCATTCGACGTCGCACAACTACGAGCAGCAGATGTCGGTGCTAACGGAGCACGTGGCTGGACTCAACGAGCAGCTGGCGCGACAGCACGACCAGCTCGAGATGCTCAGGCACCAGCTCGCCACGCGCAGGAAGTGACGTCATATCATCACCACAACACCACACCACAATGTGACTAACCAGCAATAATACATTGGAGAACTTAACTTAAAATGCGACCAAAGTCGCGTGTCGACTAAAGTTGCGGACCAAAGTCTACGAACTGGAATGTTAGGCAGTCGCATGTAATAGGTAGACATACTTACACTTTCCCTTCATGTAAGTAATTATCAACCTAAAATGAGCAAAAAGTAACAACGATAGAACCGATTTGTTTAAAAAAACCGATAAACCAAATCATGTAATCGATTAAAATTGAATCGATTTTTATTGTTTGACATCCCTAAAGTTCCGACATCTGTCAAATCGGAAAATATGTGTTGCTAGATAGAAATATTTAATCCGTTCAAAAGTTTTATTATTCCAATAAGAGTGATTAAATTGCTGTTTAAATGTATTTGAAATCATGAGTTGTAGAATTTTGTATTACTAGGGAATTTTAGATATTTTTTTGGCAGACTTTGAGATTTTAAGCGAAGAGATTTAATAAATTAAAAGAAAAATCTTTTACTAAACTAAATGATGAAAATAATATTGTACACTTCGTTTTTTTTATCTTTACTTTAAATCGAAAAGCGCTATTATTCTTGATATTTTCATTTAAAAATTAACTAAAAAATATGCTCCATTCATGTACTATTACAATTACGTATTTACGGTGCGCTTTTTAAGTCCGTGTTTTAAAATCACAAGTGTTGATGACTTTAAACGTTTCTTCTAATTTTTGACTATGGGAAGTAAAATTAAATTTCAAATTTTGTTGTACATTCCCAACTTTTATTTAAATTAATATTTTGAGCTTCAATTTTCGGGTTATGTCAACGACCTTAGCCTCTATTTCCACTTAGTGCTTAGCCGCGCGATTGTCGATGCAGTGAAATCGGAATGAGCTACGGTCAGTCGCTAAGTGATGAATAGGTCGTATGTGATTTCATAAAAAGTTTTATTTCTTTATCCCAAATTATTTTCTAAGGAAATTATTTATTTAAGGCCTAATTCATTTATTGTATTATTTACGAAGTGGCTAGTGATATTTCTATGTTTTAATTTTTATATAGAAATAATAACGCATGTCTGTTGCCTGTCTCATTAGAAATTAAGCTATTTTCTGTTTATTCGACTCTAAAACTACCTAAAATTTTTCAATTTATAGGTTAACTGCAGAAAAACATTGTTTTTTTAGTTTTAAATACAAATAAAATTAGATCGTTAATATGTGACAGTGAAAACTTAATATTTTCAATTTTTTCACCTTAAATATTGTGTCGCCATGTTGCACTATTTTTCGTGTTACTCACTGTTCGTTTATATTGTGATCCAATTAGAGTCAAAATGAATTATTTCAAGTTTTTGTCAACTTCTCAAAAACTTAATTTTGCCGAAACTTTATTAGTATTGATAAAAAATGAAACATACCTAGTTTATTAAATTATTCAAACTTTCGTGAGACATTATACTAAACTGATATATAAACACGGCTAAACACTCATGTATGTTCGTCGGGTCGCGAAATAATACCAGTACCACTCACCCTGATGAAGGGCCCCCGATGTGCTCGAAACTAGTCGGTGCCGGCACCGGACGAATATACGTCAGTGTTTAGCCGTTTTTATATCAGTTTAGACCTAGTTTATTATGATAATTGTTAAAATTGTATACAAAGTATGTCAAATGAAAAGTAAATTCGTCTAAAAGTTCAGTACAAAAGCAATATTAGCACGTACTGTATAAAATCTTTTGATATAATGTATATTACCGCAATACATCTTTTAAACTTAATTATTTTATTAAGCGTATAATTAAACGAATGTTCTGTACAGAATTCACGGGTTTTCACTAACGAAACACATTCTACATGTGCCATCTTTTGCACTCTTTTGGGATAAAAGATAACATGTTTCTGTAGGTGTTTCGGCAGTGGAAACACGGCAAAAATATAGGAATCGTGTGACTAAAAACTATATATGCAATTGTAAAGAGTGTATAAAAGTGTACGTATGTATAAATAATTTTAAACATCTAAAATGATTATTGTATTTATTTGTCCCTTATTCAATAATACGCTATAATAACATTCTTATTTTTTTTTTAATATCTTGTAGGCTCGGAACATCGTACGAGTCGTTGCGCAAAATGTTACGTGTAGCGGAACGTGAAGATGACGCAGATGACCTTGAATCCACAAATTGTTTGTGGCCTATTAAAACTTATTTCCGTACTAATTATTGAGTATTGAGAGGGATAGAAATATTTTATAAAGGAATTTGGGAAAACTCACCGTATTTTCCAATAAAACACAAACGTATGCACAACTTTGTATTTTAACGATAATCATAAGCACCTTATAATATGTCATCTGTTACAATACTTTGATTTCAACAGTTACATTATATCGTTATAAATATTTATACAAAATTTATCCAATTTGTTAAATTATCGCGAACATTCCGCAGTCACTCGCTCGCTCCCTCACTCCTCTCCACTTCACTCCACTCGCGCAGCGACTGCCGAGACATTGTGTGCATACGACATACGTGGCGGATTCAAATAAAGATATCTATTTTTGCAGTGACTTGTATATTGTTGTCTCTGTTTATTCCACAAGGACTGTAAGAGATGGCAATATCAGTAATAGGCAATACCAGTTTCCCTGTAGTTTAAACGCGTCGTAATTGCCTATCACACTAATCATGGGTTTCAAGACCTAAATCTCCGTTTAAAACATTGTTAACTCTGTTTTGTTAGAGATAATGAGAAGGATGGCGATTATACAGAGATTTTAGTCTCGGAAACCTACGGTGAGTGTAGTTTGTTATTGCCACTCAAAGAGTCCCACAGTGTACTTTAAATTTAAACCAAATAATCTTTATTATTACACTCAACAAAAGCTGCGGCGACATTTAAATAGACTGCGAAATATAATATTTTATAATAATAAAAAAAAACATAAAATAAGACTAGATTCAAGGATATAGAAATTTAAAGTAAGAAAAAATCCGCCACGTTCTTAACACTTTCAATGCTACTTAGAATTTCACTTACTAAAGATAACTCAGTGCGAATAGGTGGCAGTGAAAGTGTTAAGTCTTATATACATCAATGTCTCGTTATTTACACGACATGTTTACCACACTTTAGATTTATATAACAGTCTAATACAGTCACTTGCCTTAATTTTAAAAATTCTAATTTACGTAGACAAAGTGCTCGCTCCCAGACAAAGACCTCGAGAAAACAGTTTCTGGAAGCGTCAAAGCCAATAGAAGTATAAAAATATTACAACGATTCTAATTATATACATAGACAGTGACTGGAAATAATATTTAATAATAAATAAAATAAACAAAATAAAAAACAATTAAATAAAATTAAATGCGCACACGCACTTCATACAGATTCATACATACACAGTCTTACGTGTTCACACATGACGTATAAAAAGTCAACACGATGCCCGTTTACTTTTGGCACACTGTACACAATTAAAAAAATAAAATAAAATTATATACCGCAAAATTGTACTAAACAAATAAATTGGAACATTTAATTTGTATGCAATTTCCATATTTTTTTTATTTATTCTAGTGTCAAAATTAATAAAATCTAAAAATGTTTTTCATATATGCTTGAGTGTTGCTTGAATTTTTTTTTTCGTGTCTAATTAAAAGCTAGTTCAGTCAAAATTATATGATAGTCAACTTCACAGATTATATCACGAAAATGCTGTTAAATTAAACATCAAATAAATACTGATAAGCGATTTCTAAGTACATTGAATATACAAACACATAATTTACAATCACATTTTATTACGGTGTTTGTGTGTCAAATATAAAATGTAAGAAATACTCATACTTCATTATAAGCGACAAAACATGGCCGCTGTATATTTCACTAAAATTACAACCCGAGCACAATAACATGACACTCAAGTGCACAACTACAAGCCTTGAAGCTTAGTGTCAATTACCATGAGTTTCTGATACCGTAATTTCAGTTTAAAACATATTTTATATCTTTTTTTTCAAAGATAATGACAGAGTTAACGATATTTTATACAACCATTTTGGTGTCAGAAATCAGTGGTTAGTCAAGTTATTTTATGGTGAATTGTTTTTGTTGACTGTACGCTGTGACGTCACTCAACTTGGTCAAGTTATTGTACACGAGTTGTAATCAGTTAATGCATAAACATATTACATAAGTGATGGGTAATTACAATGGAGTTTACTTCGACTTGCGATATTGATGAACAAATATGGACGTTATTACAAACACTTAAGATTCACTTTTGTCTCATTTTGGGGATATCTCAATATATTAGCACTTAATTTCTTTTTAATTTTAACTTTGAAATGTTCGATAATGTACAGTCGGCAAGAAAATTTATAGACATTATTTTATATTTATTACCACTTTTGATATATTTTTGGTGCATGTTGGTACTAATTTATAGGCAACTTTATCAATAAAATTAATGAGTTTACTTTTTATTTGTTATAATAATTTATATTGGCCTTTGACAAGTGAGGTCAAAAACAAATATTTATTTACTCGATAATATAAATGCTTAATAAACAATGGTTGAACATTAACAAACGGACATTACGAATAATTTTATATTTAACTAACTAATTAATACGGTGTACATCGTATTTCCACTGACGAAACATACAATAACATATTTTATCAATATTATGTTTGTACAGATGCGTCAGTGGAAATAGAGCTTATAACGTTACACGGCGATATAAATAAAATACAATTCTAGGAAAAAGAGTAGTAAGAATCGACCAAGCAAAATAGACGAGAACTGTATTTCCTAGTTTCATATAAAATCGAACAATTTACAACTAAAACTCGATAATTCCAAAATATTACTGAAATAGCATACCATAACTATTCATTATATATTTACCTCACAAATAATTATTCTGATTAAAATATGGCCGCCATACCAACTTGAAGTTTATCTGTTTTAGGTTAGGACAATCATTTTATTTAGTTTTTTATACCCACTGTACAATATCAAATATTTTTTTTGCTATCTGTACTCGTGACGTCATTAATCGTCTACTTCGCTTGGTCGATATGAAACAGTTCATTGTAAGGCCTAGTACAGAATATTTTCTACAGGCTCGTGACTACGATACAAAACATAATACATACAGACAAACGCAAACTCACTATATGTTAATGTCAACTTGCAACATGGCGCTCGTAACGTAACTGACCAATTGTGAACTTCCAAAGTTTATGACATAGTGCGACAAACTTATTCGGCCCGGTAAGTAAGTTGGTAGAAAATATAGTAAGGCTATAGAAATAAAGACATGACAAGGTTCTAGTTATACTTTTGGTCACCGAGCCAAATAAATTTGTAACACTATATGTTTTTATAAACTGTCGAAATTCACAATCTTTTTAAGCTCATTTATTTGTTTTACTTTCTAATATTAGTAGAAAGGAACTTTTATAAACGAAGACTCTGTTTTTTTATTGCATTTTTCTGTTTCCAAACAAATCCTTTACTAAACATTATGCCCTTACTATTGTGGCATTCGGGGTGTCAGTTAATTCTTTTTTTTTTGCCTCAGAGTGTCATACTGTAATTTTAAATACGGTGTATTCGATTTAGAGCTAAAAGGTGTCAGAAGTATATGAACTTATAAATTTAACAGATTTTTTTAGTTTGTCTGTCTGCGGTGGGTTGCCAGATATAATTTTACTATGTATATATTCGGGCCTATTTAATATTATCTGGCAGTTTATGTGTTGGTTATTTAGTAAAAAAAAACTCCTTTTTTCTTATTTTTTAGGTGACAACCATACATGCACACATAGCTTGTATAAATAAGTACAAATTTAACAAAGACCTATAAACGTGAGCCGAGCATCACCTGCACGCAGTAAACTGGCACTCGTATTTAATATACTATTAATATTCAACATGTAATCGACTTAATAATTTCCATTATCAATAAGTTATCGTATATTAATGGCTATAAAGTTGATAATCGCTTGTCCGCGTCACGCAGCGTCTAGAAGCGTCATTGGACAATTTGGAATCGACCGATTGCTACAAAGTTGACGAGCGCTATCCGAGTTTCATACTTAGAAGCGTCATTCGGACAAATTTGAACCATAAATACATTAGCTATAAAAGTGATTATCGCTCGTCCGAACGGTCGACTTGGGAGCGTCAGTCGGGCGAATTAGAATCGTAAGTATATCGCTATAAGGTTGATATTGTCCCGTGTGAGGTGTATGCAGATGGCGCGTGCTAGCAGCGGTCAGGGTCGGGAGGTGTGGGGAGGAACGCGTCAGCACGCTTGTGTTCCGCCAGCGCGTGTACTGTGGCCGAGTCTGCGGGCAGCTCGGACTTCTTGCGGATCAGCGGCTTACTGCTGTTGTTGAATACTGGCTTTCTCGTCTATAATCATTCAAAAGTAAACTGTATAGTCATCAGCATCTGTTGCACGAATGTGCTTCGTCCGCTGCAATATCACGACCACATAGAAAACAGGAGTTACAGAGAAGTGGTAACAATTCCGCGTTTTATCTTAAGAGTGAGGAGCAGGAGGCTTAATTTAGTCTTTTTTCCCTTCCCCCCCTTTTTCTTATAAACATAGTAAAGGGATTGGACGAAGGAAGAGATGTGACAGGAAGAAGTATTCTCTCTCTGAGCATTAAAGGTAAACAAGTCATCTGCGATGGGAAATGTCTATGGGCAGCAGTTGTTTCGCTATTTCGGCGAATCCAAATGGTCGTTTGCTATCTACTAATATATAAAAATATATGTTTCAACACCTACTAAAGGCATCAAAACTTTACCTCAGTCTGTTCGCGGTCGATCCGACGCGCGCTATCCGTGTTATTATTCCCTAGATGTGCGGGATGTGTCGCTGTGGGCGGGGCTGGCAGTGCAGGGGGCGTGGTCTGCGGCTGCGGGGGCGTGGTCGCGGCGCCCTGATTGGCGGCGGCCGCACACGCCTCTATCCGCAGCCATAGCTCCTCGCGATACAATAACCGCTCCCTTTCTCTACAAATACAAGAAACTTCATAATAATCTCCAAATCTTTGGACTTAAAAAAAGGACCATACAAGGATTATTTTTTCTTAAATATTCAGTATGTTACCTTTGTTTTTCTTGTTTGTAGTGCTGCGTGCACTCGTCGAAGAGTTTCTGATTCATCTCCATGAAGAGTTTGAGTGCGTTGTAGACGAGGCCGTGTATGGTCTTGTTCCAGTGGCTCTTTGTGTTGCGGTAAAGTGAGGGGAACATGATGGGCAGGATGTGCGTCGCGTTGTCAGATATCAGGGACATAATGTACTCGTTGTTCCAGTAGTACAGAGCGCGTTCCGCCACCTGCTCACAATATACAGGATGTTTATGTTTGAACTTTATTAAAACTATGGAAAGAGCTTTGGGAAAATCAGCTACAAATAGTTTTAAATAAAATGTATCATCTTCAACAATTCCTTACTGATTTATCTTGACTACGGATAAAAAAAAACTAAGACCTTCTTATATCTTTTTGAAATTTGGCATAAATATAGAACATAGCTTCGAGTAACACATGAGATACTTTTAACCTTTTTTTTATTTGTGCAGACGAAGTCGCAGGCAATAGCTATAGTCACATAAAACTACTTCCCCATTTTGCCATTTTTTACCTATTGCCTAGTATAAATGAATATTTTAGTAAATATACGGAGAGTACCTGAAAGTGTGGGCTTGAGACGCACTTGGCGAGCTGTCGGAACAGCGGGTCCATGATCTTCTGGAACTCTGCGGGCTCGATCACGTCCAGGATCTCCTCCATCTCGTTCAGGAACATCACCTCTTTGGGTGAATGCGTCTTTGGCCAGTATTTTAATAAAGCCCTGCAAACAATAATATCATTTTATATCTTACTAATATTATAAGTATTTAGCTGTATGGATGGATGTTTATTGGAAAATAGTCTGGAAGATCACACTAATAATTCAATTTTTTTTTATTCTGCGCGGACGGAGTCGGGGGTAAGAGCTAGTATTTAATAAATAGGAAAGCGATAAAACTTGTTTCACTGTTGTCTGAAAAAGACAATCAAGATTCACACTTACCATTTCTACAGTCAAAGAATTAAATTCCCTATCCACTTGGAGTAGAAAGATCAACTTCAATATGAAAATTGAGTATCCCTGTGTACCCCGTATCGTGTTAGTGACGTGTATTACCTGACAACAGGCTGTGTGAGGGAGGGGTCCTTCTCTAGGAACTGCACCACGCAGTAGGCAAGCTGCGGATGGTACACCGACAGAGACTTGGCCTTGTGCAGTGGTAGCAATACCTGCAATATATAACAACACCTTTTAGATATTATTAATTAGAAACATTTAGCGCCAATGACGTACTTTCTTTATGTCAAGTATCAGAATGATTAATGAGGGGACATAAATGATAATGTAACGACTGACCCTGAGTAAGAACAGTTTGTGCTCCTCCTTGAGCGGCAACGCGAAACCATTGATGATGGAGCCGAGGATCTCCAGCAGCTCAGCGATGCCGTTGTGGTGCTCCGTCTCATAGATAAACCTGAAACAACATAGTATAAAGTGACGAAACAAATCTTGAAACATGTTGTGATAGTAGTTTACCACCATATCATATCAACTTATTACTGGGTAATTCGTAATGATCGTTCGTTATGCAACAAAGTGTTTATGATTTGCCTAGGAAAATTACAAACGGCCGTGTTCACGATTTGCTGGTGACGTATAATAGAAATCTTCCTACTATTTTTATAACTGCCATGTTTCGATGGATGGATGTTTGTTAGAAAGTATCTCCAGAACGGAAAGCATAGATCTCGATAAAAATTGTAATAGATGTACAACATAGTCTGGAAGAACACACAGACTACTACGAAGTGTTTATTTCGCGCGGAAGGAGTCGCGGGCGACAGCTAGTAGGTATATTAAATCCAATAATGATCTCATCGGCATACAATTTCCAGTGTATTGTCCTATTTAAACACACTGCGGTTTGTTTGCGAATATTTATAAAAATACATGAATGTTTATAAAACATGTGGAGCGAGGTCATGTGGGGAGCAGGAGGTCGCTGCGGGAGCCCAATATCCCTCAATTACTACCTCGTGTCGTCTTTTTATTAATAGACTGTCCAAAACAAGTCTAGTCATATTACTGTCAAAATATGAAGTGGGTATAACGCGACCAACATATTTGGCCCGGTGGAACGCTGCTGTCACAATTAATTATGTTAGGAAATATATAAAACCTACGTAGTCAAAGACAATGACAACAAGTATGATCTGAATATCAAAAAAGTGTCAAAGATCCTTTTTTTTGTCACAAATCTTATATATTGACAGGGAGTCATTATTGAGTTATGGTAATTACATCTTATTAATATTATAAATGCGAATGTTAAGATGGATGGATGTCTGAACAGATCTCGATAAAATTTGTTATACATATAGAACACAGTTGGAAAAACCCAAACTATAATACTTATGTTTTTTTAATGTCGGACGGAGTCACGGACGACAGCTAGTTTTACATATACTCCCCGGGTCAGTTAAGTTAGTCGGACTATATGACAATGTGACATAATGTAAGTGTACTCACCTATAAAAGACATTATTAATCTGTTTCCTGATGTAGGCGCGCAGCACCAGGAACTTGCCGTATATCCTGTGCAGCGTCGTCTTGAGGAAGTCGCGCTCGCGCGGGTCCTCCGTGTCAAACAGATCTAGTAACTGAACAAACGGACACCGTCATGTACACTCGAACCAGGATAAATGAGAGTCCAAGAAATGGAAATATTTTTCTCGCTTATATATTTTCTCTCTAACGCAAGTTTATCGCTTATGGACGTCGTCTGGACCGGGAAAAACTTTTAATTCCACAGGGAAATAGTCGCGGGCAACTGCTAGTTAAACAAAAATTTCTCTAGTTCTCCCTCACGTCAAATCCTACGCGTGCACTTGGCACTGCATAACAATACTCAACACAGATAACTATACGACTACACTACCTATGTAGGGTAATCTCACACCGAGCTTTTCAAGCGAAATCTCGGTACAGATCCCGTGAGTGATATATGTTTTAGTAGTTAGAGTTAAAGAGTTTCGAAAAATGTATTTATTTAGTTAATTCCATTCTTTAACAACATTAGTTACTTAAAAAGATACATGTTTGATAAAAATTGGATTTTATTTTAAATAGTAAATAATACTGAAGTGCTTACTTCAGACCGTAAAAAAGTTCAAAATACCTGTAGTACAAATTTCTGGTCAATATATTTCTTTGCAACGTTTGGCTGGAAGTCTGGCGACTCGAGCAGCCGGAGAAAGAGTTCGTACACGAGCTGCAAGTGTGGCCAGGCCGCCTCCAGCGTCGGCTCGTCCTCCTCCGGGTCAAACTCCGCGCCGTTCGGGTTTGACGACGGCGGTAATGTACGGAACAAGTTGATAGCAAACTGAAACACGTTTACCAATTACCAATACCAATTCTGGTTTAATAATATAACCACGGAAATCAAATTAATTAAAAACTTGTATTTTACGTAAAAAATTTGAAACGTCTCTATTAAAATTCAAAATAAATAGATTTTTTTCCGGTGCGTTCCTCGGAGATTTCAGAACCCCCTTCAATTGCACTAGAGGTTGGCCACCGAGAGGGATTTAGTGGGTCAAACCCCACATAACTCTGTCTTCCCCCAAAAACAGGGTATCTTTCGAAGATCCCTTCCTCCACTCACCAAAAAAGTGTGTGCTCTCACCATATTAACAGCCTCCGGATATATGGCCTCGGTGACGACACCGCGCTGCGAGGTGACGTACTCGACCATCTCTAACAGCGCGGCTCGTTTCACCTCCTTCCACTTGAGGTCAGACAGCGGCTCGTCCGCAAAGTCGAACAGCAGGCAGCACTGGCGCAGTTTCTGTACGAACAGTTGCTCCCGCTCGCCTGCCGGCGCATCTGCGAATTCATCATAAAAATTAAAACTAAGCTAAGTTGCTATAGATCTCTAACTGATGCAATCGTTTTGATTGCATTATTGAATTGTTGAATAACAGTCGATTTCTCATGTTAAATCTACACCGTCTTTCTTAGTGATTTTTACGACTTTGAATGCTTAAGTAACCTTAAGAGGTAATCCTTCTAACTTAGGGTCCATATATCTTGGTGGAAGAAAATCTTAAACGAATGCGACCCTTTAACTGTAGTAAAAGTTTTCAACTTAGCGTCGAAAAACATACTTTCCCATCCTTAGTCCTTGTGTTTTACGTAGAAAAGAAAAATAAAAACATTGTTATGTCGTGCATTAGCGGCAGAGCACAACATTATGCTGATGTACGATGCCGCTTTTATCCGGTCCAAGCTAACTCTGTTAGTTTGTTGAACATTTACAGATGTCAACAAACGTTATACAACAGGTGATATACTGGTTTCATCTAGTGTTACATGTCATATCCATGTTAATATGTGCTTCAACATACACACACTAGCTGACGCCTGTGACACCGTCTGCGCGGAATTAAAAAACTTAATTAGTGGCCTATATGTTCTTGCAGTCTATGTACTACATCTATGCCAAATATCAGCGAGATCTGTACAGATTTTTTAATCGACGGACGAGAGAATGCACAGAAAGAAAATATTTTCCCATTCCACTTATCATCCCCTCCTTATAAGAAAAAGGTTGGGAAGGGAAAGAGGACTAAATTAGGCCTCCGGGACGCACGCTCTTCAGACGAAATGCGGAATTGCTTCCACTTCACGCCTGTCTGTATGGTCGTGGTATTTTACCGGGCGAGCCGGGCCAATTCGAGCGAAGATGTTAAAGCGGGCTCTACCACTGATAAAGAGGAGCTGAAGAAGAAAGCTGTTCTGGAGATACCGTGTAACAAACATCCATTCATCCATACATTCGCATTTATAATATTAGTAAGATATAAAATAATGTATTGTTATAAAAGAAAAAAGTTATAAAAAAATGTTCAAATTAAACTCTAGATAGCGTATTAAATATTTTACAATACAATAAAGTCTTTATAAGAGGGAGGATGTAAAAATCCTATAAGGGTTCCGTTTTTTTCCTATGACGTACGGAACCCTAAAATATATTAAGCTATGGTATGTAACAGTCTTTATATATACTTAAGTCGTATCTGTTTCAAGTCTTGAAGCAATCATTAAGAATAAAGTGACAAAACGGATCCACTTTAGCAAAGTACATATCTTACGCATATAAATATACACGCTTTATGCTAATATGTCTATTTATAAACGACCTTGTTCCAAAGTATTGACCGTTCTCGTTTCATTACCACTCTTGTTACTTATATAGCTTTTATCACAGACTTGGCCGACATATTTAAAACACAAATGATTTATTAACTATTTATTTTTTATTAATTCTGCGCGGATGGAGTCGCATGCGACAGCTAGTGTCTTTATAATAAAATTGAGAAACATCTAAAACTTGCTTATAAATTATCAAAACATGATCAAAGTACTAAAATGATGTACTTAAAATTGTAGACAAACGTCCTGGATTAGAAAAGGGGCCACTTGGAAGACAGGAACCAGAGCAGGAAGTCATTATGCCAGCCGGCTTTACATTTGGAGCTTTTCAAATGAACTAGTTCATGCCGAAACTAAAAAAAAACTCGTGTGCTATGAAAATAAAAACCTTGTATTTACAAAAATACAAAGTTATTCTAAAAACAAATATCAAATACGATAATTAAAACAATTGCTTAATCGTCTCAAATAAGAATTAAAAAAAAAATTACAAAAAAAATGCGTCGCCTAAAACACTATACAGTAGTAGATATATTTTAGTGCATATAAATTGAACACACATAAAGCGCGTGCACAATAACATAAGAGTTACGTGAAATGTGACGTCATCAACACACCTCATATATCACATGCGATTAGTCTGAGTAACGAAGCCAATACTACCATTACATTCATAAAATTGTATCATGATGAAAGATTTATGTTTAAAACTACCAAAACAAAATGACGTCATTTCGAATCTAGTGTGAATATCACGATAAAAAATTACGAAGTCAAAGCGAGCGATTGCTAATTCCTTTAATGAGTCGAAGTACAGAAAAGAGTGTTTCAGTTTAAGTTGATATTGATTTGCATGTTGACAACTGTCACGGTCACGGTACGGTCAAAAAGTATTTTTTAAAACGGAATTACTAACTATTTGGTCATGTTAAAGCTCTACAGGTATAAAGCAACAATCAGCACCTTATTTTCAATCTTGATTATGTTGTGATATAACTGACGAGGTAATATTAACATGGAAGGAGTTTTCGTCTATCGCGTGATCCAAGCCTTAATGACAGGGACTCAGTATGTTAGTGCACGAGTATAAACTTCAACAAGGATTTACACTTCTCAATGTATGTTCTTGAACAGAATAAAACGCACAGAATTTACTGATAGTTATAAATCGACTCTCAAAAATGACTAAGCGAATTTCTCTAAATTATTTATTACGCTAATACATTACAAATTAGCCGGCATTTTCTGCATGTAAATAATTTGCCAAAACTGCCATAAATTATACACACATCCGTGCTGATCGCTAACAGATAACATCCTCTCAGAGAGTTTAATACCAGACCAAACAACGCTCGAGAATGGGCACGTCCCGTACACGTGACCTCAACGTGTGATTAACTGAGCTTAAAACAGCAAGATAACACATGCTGTTTTGAACTACGCTTATAATTTTATAAGTAAAATGTGACACAATTATGAGGCGCACCGAGAACGACTTCGCCAGTCGACGAGTCGCCAGCGGTCGTCTATGGCATTACAATGGGTCGATATATTTCTGCGGCGTTTTCGCCATTTGATGTATACGTACTTGTCGGATTCGTTAGACCTATGCTACAACCGCAACGCCAAGGAAATCACTAGGCGTGGGCAGAGACTAACGGTAAGCACGCAATTCCGTTTATATTTAATGAATTTATCGACGGCGATGGAAATAGACGGGGGCCACATCGTCGATACCGGCGAGGAAGGTCGATTGTAAACAATGAAGATGATACGGCATCGGCGGACCTTTAAGCAGCGGCAGCTGCACCATGAGGCTTTCCTTGTCGGTGGCGGGTGGCTGCGGGGGCCGCTCGGGGGAGACCGCCGCGGGGGGCGGCGGCGAGCGCGGCGAGGGCGGCGAGGCCGCCTTCTGAGGCGCCTGGCCCTCCATCGTGCCCGGGCAAGACAGGGCGAAGCGGAACGCCCGCGCGACGTCGGAGGCGCTCTCGGAGCGCTTGGCGACGGGGCCGGCGACGAGGTCGAGACCCGAGTGGAACGACGGCGACTTGGGTATACCGAGGGGCGAGACGGCGCGGCGCGGCTTGGCCTCAGCGGCGACGAACATCGCTCGCGCGGCCGGCCCGGCGTGGACCATCGCAGGCGGCGGCCGGCAGCGGCATCCGAGCGGCGGCCGCGGCCCGGACCGGTGCGAGCTGCGGGGGCGGCCGGACTGCCGGCGCCGCGCCCGCTGCCCCCCGCCGCAGCACGCCGCCCGCCTCGCCCGGCGTCGCGGCGCGCGCACGCACCCCGCGCCTCGACGCCGCGCCCTACGTCCACACCGCACGCAATCGCTCTATACAACCTCCTATAGGGTTGCTGCTCATTTACATATCGTCACGAACAAAGTTTAGTCACTATGAAAGTATAATCAGAATTTGACAAAAAGGAAGATATATTATGTCCTTGTCTGTAATTGTTAAATTGAATTGAATGCATAAATTACGCTTTGTGCTGAATATATAGCCTCCACTTGTATAGTATTATCAGTGGCTACAAACATACTGCAATATATACAGTACTAATAAAAACTTTTTATTCTATAAACATTCAAATATATGTCATTGAACATACATATAAGTCGTTTTTCTTCACAATAAACAAGCGTTAAAGAGATTGCAATTACGTCTCTGTAGTCAGATAAGATATATGGTGTCATTGACCTGGACTGAGATGCGACGGATATAGAGCCATTTAGTATCAGTTGTTTAAGGAAGTGCTAGATGAGATCAACGGCTGAATTGTCTATCTCTGATCATTGCATTCGTGTATTAACGCCGTGTAAAGTTTTATTATCTTGTTTTTCATTGATCTGTCTTTATATCTAGTGACTAATCAAAAAAGTTTTTATATCATCCATTCTTTCACCCTCGACTAGTCGCAAGTTGAGCAATCAAAAATATTACACATCGATACTTCACCGGCTTAAGATTTCCAAGAACAGAATAGGGGAGGTCTGTGTTGGGTCGTAAGGGCGACGGCTAAGTCGACGCAGCCCTTGTTCGTGGGGAGTGTGTACCAGACGTCCCCTGCATTACACCATCGATCGCTTTAATGGACCTTCATGGTGCAGTTTACTACCGGTACTCCACTGCCTATTGTCCTTACTACGGATACGGCAGTCAAATGACTCGCGGTAACCCGGCAGTTTCGTTTACAAGACACGCGTTGAATATAAGATATGTAAACGGCAATTGAGACTTTTCAATTAATTTAAATGAAAAAGGAAACAACAGGAATTTTAATTTATTACTACGGTAGGATTATCTACAAAGTGTAGACAGAGATAACAATGATAATAAGGTCAGTACACTAACTGCTACATATAGACACATAGAAATATTACTAATATTATAAATGCGAATGTTTAGATAGATAGATGTTTGTTTGAAGGTATATCTAGTACGGCTGAACGGATCTAGATAATTTTTTAATTCCTCGCGGACGGAGTCGAGGGCGACAGCTAGTTTGATCATAAAGTTTTTATTATATTATGTATGTATCTACCGAATACCGGTTAGTTGCTGAACACTAACTACTATACTATTAAATCTCAAAGGATCGTAAGTAGCGTAAGGAAACATCTATTAGAATATACTGAAAGATAAAATTTGAATTCAACACACATTCGTAGTGACACTTTGAGTGTTTATTGTAAAATCATTTAAAGTTGTATTGAACTGTACAAGATTTATTATTCTCTAGAGTGGCGAAACATTATTATAGATAAGATTGATAAAGCTTAGTCGTGCCAAGCCGACAGTTCTGCCAACCAAGTAGAATTGAATAGTAACGCATATTGCACTGCATTAGATGTGGTGATGATAATATATGAATCTGGGCATATTTAACATCTAAAATTTATTTATTCGTTCGTTGATAAAGTGACGGAGACTAAATAATTAAAATTTTTATGTAAATTATGGAGGACAATACCATTATAAAACTTTTAAGATGCTAAGGAAATAAAATAATAATACGGAAAAATGGTCATAATTGATTTTTATATACTAGTCGATTTAATTAAATCGATTCGTCATCTTTCGATTTGATTCGAATATCACAAATGTGTTTCTAAAATATCGTATAAGACATTTTATCATCCTTTTCAGTTTTTTTTTTAAATTAGGTCAACAACATATTTCAATATCAGCGAAATTTCACGTTTACAGTAAGGGGACATAAACACAGACAAGCGTTTACCTTGCGAGCCACGTCCACGGAATCTAATTTCTATTCCAACAATTGACATAATTTTCACACGTCCTTGTAATACAGAGGTAAGTTTTACAAGGCGCAATCAGAACCCGGTGTGCCTTATCACACCATTATGCAAATCAAAACTGATAGCGTTTTTAGGAGTGTATTAGGTAAGTAACACCATAAAATAGATTGATGTACCGGTCTATAAAACTACGCGTCCATTAGCAGTTCCGTTCATTAGACGCACCGCGGGTTAAATGGATTTGCTTGGTTTGGACGCAGTATTTCAAATCATACAAAGCAAACTAAAATCCGTTGCTGGCTGTGCGTACGGTGCGTCTGGTGCAGGCCACGCGTACCGTAACTCGACGAAACAATAAATTAATTGAATATGAATACTATGGGAAAAACAGAAGGGTAAGTAGTCATAAATTCAACAAGCAAGAGTCCCGATAAAATTCTCTATCACCCTATAAGTATTACGAGACAACAGTAACATTCTTGGTATGGAATAATTATTAATAATTTTTTTATATAATACTAACAACCACAGTTATTAGATCACTAAGGGACTGCTTAAATTCTCATTAAATACTTTATGTGGCAAAAAATAATGTGGAAATTATAATACAAGTACCAACAGTAAAATGAGTAAATGAATATTACATAACACAGTCAAGTCTAGTTACATCAAGCTTTAAACAGTGTTTGAATTTTTAATGAGCCACCCCGCAGAACTAATTAACTTGCTTACACTCGTAGAACTGAATACTACGTCGTAGCATCTCTTTTATTACTATTCTCGCCTTTGAGTTAAACGACTATATACACTATTTGTTTAGCTATTTAATTTCTTTAACCTTCATCGTATAATGCAGGGCCATCTGAGTAATTAAGATAAGTCATCCTGATGCTAGTATCAAGAGGTTCGTTTTCGAGCTAAGCCAAATAAAGGCTAAGGTAAAAATTGATAATCAGGTCTAAGCACGTCATGTTGATGAACGTTGAAAGGGTTATCTGAGTCGTAATCGATTAATTTTGAAGAATGAGGCGAAATCTATAAGATAACCTCTGGCACAGTAGTCCGTAGTTAACCATGTCACGAAATTAAAAAAAAATCAACGAAATTATCTAGACTAATAGAGAAGAAGCGCAGAGGAACTAATTTCGCGTTTCGTCTGATGAGGGTGCATACCGGTGGCCTAATTTTAATCCATGTTTCTTTTACATCTTTTTCTTGAAAGGAAAAGATGGCAGGAGGGAAATGGATTTGATATTGGAGGGGACGCATAAGAATGGGAAATATTCTCTATCCTCCGTCGATTCACTATTTCGGTGAATTAGGGTGGCCGCATGCTCTTTTGGCACCTTATAATGTAAAAAAAATTGAACAGGGAGCATGTATCTTCAAACTCTGAACACATTACCCTAGCGAAGTGTACAAAGTTTCCACAAAGCGCTGTCGGCACTGTAGCGGAAAGAAGCTGCAGTGAGGAAGCAAGGCGGAAAGCCGTAGGGCGTGTGCCATTTCATTCTAGCACACGACCTGGTTCTAACAAATTGAAAGCATTCATTTAGACTTAACATAGGAATATGTTGGTACCTCGAGGCGTTAGGCCACGTGTCAGTGTGTCATGTAGATGCAAATATTATGGTTACATTTCTTTTGCCTTTTTGATTTCAATCTTGAAAAACAAACATCTATCGGATGTAGGCAGATACTAGAGTAAGCATAATCTTGATTGTCCGTCACATACGATGATATATAACTTTACGATGAACTACTAAAAATCATTCTATATATAAAATTAAACAAGATTTTTTCCATTTGTATGATTTAAATTATCAAACGATAAAATCAAAGGAAACGTCTTCGAAGAAAATTAAGATTCACCCTCCAAGTTGAAAAGCCTTCTTTGATAAATGTTTTGACAAAGTGCCCTTTGTCACGTCAACAATGGACCAAGTTAGTCAAAGCAAAAATGCCAATGTACTGAAACACGAGGGGGAAAACGATTCTTATTATGATGAAAGAATATAAAAATGTTTTACTTATTTGGTTAGCTTTATAACTGACTAGATGTGGCACGCGACTCCGACCGCGTGGAAGTTAAAAAATGGTTAATAAAAAGCCTATGTGTTTCTCCAGACGATGTTCTACATCTATGTCAAATTACAGCGAGATCCATTCCGCTGTTCTCGAGATACCTTCAAACAAACATCCATCCATCCAAACATTCGCAGTTATAATATTAATAAGAAGTGAGATATATAAGATAAAATTAATCATGATTCCGAATTCACATCTAATGTATGTTTTATTTTAATGTTTTATTTCGCTACTTATGAGCAAAATTTCCTGTACAAAACCTTAGTGTAAAAAAACTGCAGGCACGACATTTGTAAGCCGACTGACAAAAGTCTTTTATCACAGTTATGACGTAAGCGCCTTTCCTATTAGGGTTGGCAATTGTCGACAGACGTGTTATTTGCGAAACTGTTTTCATATTTATCATCTAACAACTAAAGCTTGCCTCTTACAACAATACTCAAAGTTCTAGGGGTTACTAAGGAATACCTTAGCGTTTCCTTAGTAGATTTACTATGAGAAGGGCACGCTAAGGGTCTGCTTAGGTCTATATTATATCACTGAGTGACAGTTAGAGTTCCCGTTAAATTACCACTAATGGACAACCTTATTTAGTCCGCGACATCTAGACTAAGGGTTATAGTTTTGTATAAATGGCTATCAAAGCACTCTAAACGCGGCAACAAAAGCATCAAATCTAATTTGTCGTATCAAAAAGCTTGGCCGTCTACATATTATTTTGTAAATATACCTATACTTTCCATAACCTAGAGACTAAGACATGCATTTATCCCAAGTACTTTCGCAACAGATCATCAGCAAGCCGTTATTGCGGTATTTACAGAAATCCACTACGACACACTGACCGCTTTTATGTAAGCGACATCTAACGGATTTGATGGGAATTTGCTAATGTATTTACGTATTATTTCATTGTACAACAACAACGTTATTAAACCTCGTAAAACAAGTAATATATTTGTTTATTTACGTTGATTAATCTTGGAAAAGACTAGGAGACCAGCGCACATTCATAGCATATTCATTCTTTAGCAATCATTATCATATTTCTCCTCATCCAGTTCTCTAAAGATATCGTATAAAAAATATCGTTTTAAACTGTCTTGCTTCAAAACCGGGTGAGTGTTGCGTGTACAAACAGGTTGTTACGCAACCGATGATTATTTTAATCGCTTTAACGGTTATTAATAAAAACTCTTGCATTACAAGTATCGACTGTTTTCAAAGGCATTGACCAACACTAAAATCTAGGAGTACTTGACACACTGTCATAATTAAGTCTACGATCAGAGACCGACGACAACTACTAACTAACGCACTCAGTGTGACAACAACCTGTAAAATGGTAGTCCTTAGTTTAGATTTAGTTATCGAAATGTAAGAGTCCTTTTTAGTGACCAGTTGATGTATCTGAATGTGAGAGTAAACTTACCTTTAATTGGAGGTAGTTTGACGAGCTCTTGATTGTGATGCTGTACATTAAACCTGCTGGATCCGTGTCTCCGCGGCTGACCGTTCCAGCCTGGCGGGCGGGGGCCGTCCGCCGCGCGGGGCACTATCGCTGTAGGGGGCGGCGGTCGAGCCGACAGCGCCGGCAGTGGCTTCTCTGGACGGCCCTGTGAACAGAACACTGTTATGAAACACCATGCATATATAGAGCTACTAAAATCATGTACGACATACGACAACATCTAAATAATTCTATACTCAGAGTTGTTAAGTCATTGATTGAGCAACACTTTAGTATAGATTTCTTAAGATTACTCTTTATGAACTTTAAATGGCCGTTAAAAGCAGTTGTATCAAAATTGTTACTGCGCGAAAAACATTTAGAAACTGAGATATTTGATAGAGACGCATTTTTATATTGTAATTTTCAACCTTAATATTACGACGAGACGAAACAAAATTAAATTGGTTTCACCGGAATTCAAATAAAATTTCACTTCTCATTTCGCTACGCCTAAATGGAAATAGTCTTGGCGCAGCGAGTTACTCTGAGGAAATGTAACTTGCAATAAATATACTTTATTCTACAAATATTACTAGAATTTAATTTAAAAGCAACTCTTCTTAATTTTAATTACAGCCTGTGTCATCCCTTAATCAAATCTATTAATGAAACAAAGCGGTGATTAGTTACTCTTGAAGAAATAACCAATGCTTCATTTTTATTTATATATAAATATACTAGACCAAAAAACAATAAAAAAAACCCTTTCAGTCAATATTAACAGTAATCAATTCGACAAATTGCCTTATACTTACACCAAAGAGTTGTTCTACAAATGAACATAACCAGCTGACCCTTACAGGATCCCGCGGGAGACCTGATTGATCGACATTAAAGTTCCCTACAGCAATCATATGGGACGTAGTCGATTGATACTAATATAAACGTGTGTTTCCACTGAACATGTACCTATCGTTACCTCGTAAGGAATGAAAATAATATTCTGGATAGGTGTATTATCTGCAGTGTAAACTGGTGAATGTTACACTAAACAAACAATTGGCAAATATAATTTGTTCAACATTGTCTTTCGTCTATCGATGGACGATTTCATATTTATACAATATTATCAGCTGTCACCCGCGACTCCGTCAGCGCGGAATTGAAAAAAAAACCCTATGTGTTCTTCTAGACTATGTTCTACATCTCTATCAAATTTCATTAAAATCCGTTGAGCCGTTGCAGAGATACCAATCCATCCATCCATCTATATATTCGCGATTACTTCAGTTCATTTTTCTAAAGGTATATTTTACAAGAGCTAAGGCATGATTGCTGTAGAAAAACCAACGTAGCTGTGTAACCGAGATCTATTTGCGAGATACATTTTCAATATTTCCAGTGCTACGTGCAGCATAGAAATGAAATCTCAACATACTCTTTTAACGATATTCCCTTCATATTCATATAAATAGAAATGTGAGTTACTCATTTACGTAAAAGTTTTCACCTTCTAAGGCACCTATGGGATGACAACATTTTTGTTAATAATAATAATATTACTTCTTAATTGGACATCTCATCTGACTCAATTTTTAGTATTATCATCTTACTAATATTATAATTGCGATTGTTTGGCTGGATGAATGAATATTTATTAATACGGTTGCATGGATCTGAAATTTGGCATAGATGTAGAACGTAATCTGGAAGAATACATGGGCTAAGGGCTAGGCTAGGAAGCTAGTAAATCCACAAAGAAATAGCACGGATGCTTGAAGAAACGAGCAAGATATTCCAGGATTATCCCAAATTAGAAGAACCTAATTCCTGTCTAATCTTTTGGGTTATTGGTGTATGTATATGCGATATTACAATTCTTACTTAACTTAGTTTACGACATTCGAAAGCCCGGAAGCTCTTTAAGACTAAACAATACAATTCCCTCTCGTAGAGGGTTAATTAAAAAAGTTTCTCCATTAAATTTACAAGACTGCAGTTCAAAATGATCAGGTCGAGTTTAAAACTACCGTCTACTTTGAAAGTTTGAGTTTTTTAACAGCTTTAATTACTTGCTATAAGGTAAATTAGGTAAACTTCAAATTAAGCGGAAAACTTAGACAATTTCATTATTATTGAGTACAAAAAAAATGTAGAAAATATCCATAAACTTTTATCATATTTTGTTTTGCGCATTTAATATATCATTATTTATATCAAATATAAAAAGGTCGCATATTTGTTATAAGTTTTGAATTTCGAATACTATAAACTTTATCAGGTGAATGTCCTGTTCATGACGTCATTGGTCTTCTTTAGTGAAGTTAAAAATATAATAAACCGGTACAACGTCGTTGATAACGATACCTTTAACGCATAACGAATCCATTCGTTATCGATAAACTGAAGCGTAACAACACTAACGAGTTATTTTGACATGCGTAACACATTTAAAGGTATAACAGATACGTAAAACTGTAATGATTGACATATGATAGAAAGGAGTCCAACTACTCTACTATCGAAAACCAATCGACTTATCTAACAGACTAACACACTTAAAACAGCTTGCATAAAAGACTTGCAACAAAGCATTAAGTATTTCTATTACAAAAAATTTGATACGATAAGTTGTTCTTGATCGAGACTCATATAGTTAACAAGACTTATCTACAAACAATTTTAGGCCTAATTTTAGACGTCTTTCTCTACCCATCCTTTTCCTTATAAGTAAAGGATGGGATGTGGATTTTCTCGATGAGAGGATGCATGGAAAGGAAAATATACTCTTTCTGTGCATCCCCTCCTCCGTAAATCAAAGGCAACGCATCTGCAATTGCGGATGTCTATGGGCAACGGTCGCTTCGCTATTTCAGCGATTTCTGACGGCTGCTCGTGCGTTTACCACCTTATAAAACAAAAAAATTACAATGAGAATTTCTCGAAAAAGATAACGTAATAACAATATCAAACGACAGTTGATACATCAAAATCCACAAGCAAATCAACTTTTCCATTTGACTTATTCCTTTAACTTCCGTCAATAAAGCAATTAAGGGATCCAAAGGGAGTAATTAAGTCACCAATAACCCGAGAACAGATATTAATAAGTGGGAAACGTGACCTTACTCATAGCGATTGTTAATATCACAAGAAACTATCACTGACCGTGGATTTATAAGAAAATCTCCGTTTAAATCATATTGTTATCTCTGTTTCGCCACCGATGGCAGAAGACAGGGATGACCATATGTTTTATACAGATTTAGGTGTCAGAAACCAACTGTAAGATATATAAGTTACTTAGTAATTAATATTACCAGTGTTTTTTGATAGAATTTTTCCACTTCGATTTAACACGTTCCACTATGATTTTCCGTATCAAAATCACCATCATCATCAAAGGTAATTAGGTAACCTGAAAGTAATACTATCATTTTAAGAATGATACAAATTTCCATTCCCACGTAACATCTAAAATACGTATTGTATACGTCATTCCTAGGTCCGCCTACGTTCATATAACGGCCGCAAATAAATCGCACAGCAGCACGCCTTTGTTTTGATACAAGCCGGCGAACGTTGTAAATGCGGCCATGTGACCTCGATCGTCAATCAAAGAATATATAACATTTTTAATTATAATCTAAATTCCATAGAACACTAGTTTTTTTTATATCATAAAGTGGCAAACGAGCGAGCGGCTTGACCTGAAATCGTTGAAATAGCGAAGTGACCGTTGCCCATACACATACGCAATTGCATATGCGTTGCCTAACTTTTATTCTTATTATTTCTAATTATCTCTTTCCATGCATTCTTTCATCCGGAAAGTCCACTTCCACTTCTCATCCTTTCCTTATAAGAAAAAAAGTGGGAAGCGAAACAGAACTAAATTAGGCCTCCGGGACATACACTCATCAGACGAAACGCGAAATTGATCCACTTGACGGCTGTCTTCTGTGTGGTCGTGGTATTTCACCGGGCGAGCCGGGCCAATTCGTGCGAAGATGTTAAAGCGGGCTCTACCACTGTTAAAGTATTAGTTAGTATATTTTTCTTTCTGCTTATTATCCAATTCGGTAACTTAAATTAGTTTGTCCAGTTTTGAGGCGTGTTTTGAAATATTCGGACGGACGGAATATTTGGAAATTTATATATAATAATTTTTATATAAATTCCTTTTTTTTATATAATTTTCATATAAATTTCACGATTTCTATGAAACTAAAAATTTTCACATTCATACGTCGACATTGTCATTTAAAGGAAAGCACTTTCATACATTCAAAACTAACGAAGCTTACTCTCAAACTGAATGTGAGATCATCAGAGTGTACCGTATTTAGGTCCAGCAGAGCTTACGAGATTAGAGGCGAGAGATCAACTCGAGGTCAACGGGAATTTCATGTCACCCATACTACATTTATTTTATACCAGCTGTCGCCCGCAACTCGGTTCGTGCGGAATTAAAAAAAACTATTAGTCTTATTAGTTTATATGTTCTTCAAGGCTATGTTCTACATCTATGCAAAATTTCAGCAAGATCCATGCAGCCGTTCTTGAGGTACCTTCCAACAAACATCCATCCAAACATTCGCATTTATAATATTAGTAAGATTTGATATGAAAATAAATAACCAATTATTAAAGCTTATTCTTATAACACCGTTTAATTCTTGGCGACAAAACTCGTTTATCAGAAAATTTCAAGAAAATATCTCGTGTGTATCGCAAAATAAACTCCGGTTAACGTAACGTTTTCGTATTTGAACAACACTTTACTCTGTATGTATGTTGACGTACAAAGTTTATTTTTATCTTAACGACTTAAGATGAGATTTTAATTGACACGACGGCCACAGCTGTATTATTTGTAATAATACAATGACAAATAAAACCTAAAATGAGTCGTATTTTTATGAAACTGTTGGTAACATTGAAAAGGATGTATTCCATTAAATGACCAAATTCCTTGTATTGACATTTAGTTGCTAAATTTAAAAACATAATAATATCCAGCTTGATACCTTCACGCGTTCCTGGGAAAAAGGATCTTGCCAGACAGACGGACAACACAGTGATCCTATAAGGGTTCCATTAATTTTGATGTACGGAACCCTAAAAAGTAGCAAATGCAAAATATTTAGCATCTTCCCATACTGATAAGTATATTTAAATAAAGCAGCTTAGAAGCTCTGCTTTTCATAGCAAAGAACATAACCGGTATAGTTGCCATATTTTATATCTTTAAATGAGCAATTCTTGTATATATACAATTGAAATCTCGGAATCGGCTCCAACGATCATAAAATTTAGTATATAGGGGGTTGCGGGGGCGATAAATCGATCTAGCTAGGAATCATTTTTAGAAAATATCATTTTACTCGTGTTTTATCGATAATCAACTTAAACATAAACTTAACTTTTTCTATCGGTAAGATAGAAAAATATTATTCATATTTCATCATTTTATTAGTAATTCGTACTTAAATATAATTTCCAAATAAACACAATTTAAAAAAAAATACCGAGCAAAGCTCGTTTATCCAGATTTTATAACTATAATAAGGAAAAAGTATTAAATAATAAAGGCTAACTGAAGTAACTAAAACATAGAACAAAATTATCATATAAAGTATCCATTTATAGACTTACAATACTAATTTATTTATATCACAAGACGCGAGCATAAATGTAACTGGGCTTCAACCATATTGTCATCCCTTACATTCTCTTCGTAAAAATAGAGACACATTATATGTCAAGTGTCACGGTAACCGAAAACAGTAAAGGTCAACGCGCATTCGTTTACAGAAGCAAACAAGTACATCCAACTTGACGTCGCCAATATATACCGCATCGGCAACGTTTAGACGCCGCGGCTATTGACTATCTACGTGGTCCTGGTACATAAGTAGTTGACAAGTCCGCGTTAGCCTTAGAATTGTAAGGAGCATGCTCCGTGTAGCCTTGAAAGACAATTTATGATACTTATCCCATATATTTGTACTCGAAGTCATCCTCTTCGTACAGAAATATTGCTTATGACTTGGCAAGGGTTTTGGTATGAATTATTTATTTATTCTTATTTTCTTTCTCATGATTAAAAATTGCTAAATACTGTAAGTCAATTTAGAATTTAGCCTTTGACTTTACGATGTGTGATAATCTATACCAGAGGCTCGTGGGTTTCCAATGCTCTAACCCAGGTCACATACACTAACATAGAGAATAACTTTGTTTTTTTAGACAAAAACAGAAGTATTCAGCCGTAAACATACACCAGAATTTTGGTACAGTTGTTAGGTATCTGTATGTCACCAACGAATTAGGATTCTGCATGAATTTGTTCAAATTCGAATAAATTACAATTAACAAAATTGAGCAGCGAATAATTGTCATTTCACAGTAGTGACCTTCCACGTTATCGCTTCAAAGTCGAATGTATGCGAAATAAAGCAGCCTTCGAAATACAACTGAAGAGTTAATATTCATTCTATAATTTTGCAGTTTTTTAACTTCTAATTGTGAGATATTTATCGCGAATAGTATTAAACTTAGCCTCTGTCTATTAAATAACAGTGTATTTAAAGATAAACAAACAGCAGTTCGCAAAGAACTCGAACTATGACGTCATTACGAAGCGCATTTCAAATTTATAGCATCTGATGCAGCCAGTAACTTCCACATCCCACATTAAAACATAAATAAACCTAGAGTAGATTAAAATAAACAGTATTAGTTAGTATATACTCAAAGACTCTTTAACCTTAGTAACAAGGACAAAAGGACAAACACATCCCGATTTTCGTAATTTTTTTCTTCTTCTGGATATGATAACCTATTTTTACAACTGGCACAAAATTGCTGGCTAAGTTGCCTGAGAAGTTAATGTCAAGCATATTATAAACTAAATTTATCGGAGCTGCCCACATCTATTCTTTTCTATGATGAAAACTAAAAAAAAATTACCGTCACCATGGTCGGTCTCGTCGATCGTTTCTGGAACATACTCGATAATGTGTGACGATTTAAACTCGTCGATAGAGTTGATGATGCCAACATTTTGAACACAAAACAATCACTATTCAAAAATTTAATAACACCATAAAATCACTTTTCTTACTCATTCACAAACTCATAAATCGTTTCCTTCATCGATTTTATTAAGGTCAACACTAATCACTTATTTAATTAATAATTCAAACATCGAGAGAATCTATTCTCCAATACCACCACAACGTATAAAAACTATATTTTTGTTCACTACACATTACGTCCGTGTTCAACAATCGCACTAGAGCTTTTAAATAAGTCATAAAACCCAATATTTTATCGATACGCCATCGTAACAACTTTGGGAGTAAGATTTTACTATATCATAGTGAAAACATTTAACCTTCTACTAAAGCACTACAGCTACTAATCACACATAGGATTAGTCAACTAACGAGGGGAACAATCAACTTTTACTAGTAAAGTTTCACTGTATACAGGCGTCAGGTCGCCAGACAAGCGCCTGTCACTTATCTACGTTTGGTCACAACTCACAACTGACTGACTTTCTCTCCGTGTTTTTGCGTCGAGTCACATTCTGTGCAATCCGCAATATAATAAATCTCTACTTTTTGTATACAAATGGAATAACTAAACTGATAAAATGAAAACGAATAGCGGGAATGTGTTTTTTTAGCGAAGTACCGGAAAGAAGTTTTAATGTTTTTTTAAGATAAAAACGAGGGTTATGACTTTTTATCAGTAGTACAAGTAGGACAATGTATTTTCACCTCGAATACAAGGCTCACCGCTACTGGTAATCCGTTAAATAAAATTTACAATCAATAGTAAAACGTTACAACTAGAAAAATATCGATGGATGTACGGATGTTTGTTAGAAGGTTTCTGCAGAATAGATGGCGCTGAAACTTGGCATATATGTGAGACATAGTCTGGAAGAATACATAGGCTACTAATTAAGGTTTTTCTTATTCAGTGCAGGCGGAGTCGCGGGCGGCTGCTATATTACTATAATCGGAACATTATGTCGAGTTATTCGTGAATATAACATTAAGTGGGACAGTGAGTGCCAATTTAATTAAGCATGACTCTGAGTATGACAGACTCTTGAAATGTAACACTCATTATATTTAAAATAATATAAGATTTTTTTATAAACAAGCGAGTTTTATTTGCGCTGCCACACTATCTAATATTTACAACATAAAGCGCGGTGACATCAGCACTCGCTAAAATTAAAAGCCGAGGTAAATCAACGTCGGCCGAATGTTTTTCTTTACTACAAAATATTTTACAATTTTATTATTTAATATTTTAGCCCGAAATTTTTTTATTCAGCAGAAAACTTCGTAAAAATATTGTGACTTTTTGGTTGCAAGAACTTATTCTTTGCACGTAAAATGCATTGTATTATTGTGGATAGGATAGGGGGAAAATTTTACGTCCCGTGACTGTCATTTATACTATACAGTAATGAAATTGGCATCCAAGCCTGCGACAAATTAAAAGTAAAGTGACATTGCGAAAATAGATTTTGGACGTTAATCAGCTGAAACAATAACATGATTTTTTTTTAAAACATCCAGTTTTATTGTATTCAGCTAATACGTGTCCCCTCTGAAGGGCTCGAGCTTACTAAGCTAACTACTAAAATTATTGTTGACTAGTAATCTAGACGCGTGGTCGTGTCCTCGCCACTATGCGTAGGAGCAACAGAGAGATTTAGTAGTTATGCTATACGCAGAGAGAATCTCACATCACTACCGTGTCGCTCCCTGGCGTAGAGTATGCATAAAGCATCCCTTGCGAAAAAAAACGTTAGCAATCTACGCTATCAAAGAATATGACAAACAATAATAAGAAACAAATGATTATCACCTCTGCATATAACAATAACTGTGCAATATGAAAATGTTATTAGAGTAACACGTTATCTATACGAATATTATAAAGCGGAAGAGTTCGTTTGTTTGTTTGTTTAAACACGCTAATCTCAGGAATTACTGGTCTGATTTGAAAAATTATTTATTTGTATAATCCATTTATAACATTACGCTGCGACCAATAGTTTTTTTTTAATTCCGCGCGAACGGAGTCGCGGGCGACAGGTAGTATCACATATTAGAGTATTATCACGTGTTACATCAGCACGAGAAGGTAAGATAGCCGACTGTAACCGGCGCATTCGCGTTACGGTACCTACCATTCATAAACGCAAATGGCCTTGATGGTCGCGAGACGAACATCAATTACGAGAAATTGTGTACCCCGTAAGCTCGACGTGTAAACACAACAACATTTAGAGAGGACATCAAACAAATCCTATTGGCCACATAATTAAAAAGTTAGGAATGTTTGCTTTTCAACACAAAGTGGTATGTCTCATTAGACTAGTTGACATACATTCACTAATGTACGACGCCATTCGAACCGGAATGTGGCAAAAACGCTGCGAGGCTTGAGTTAGAACAGGAACAGAACAGTTTTTAGTTTACATTGATTAAATTACATATAATAAATATTTCTGAACTAATTAGACTAATTAATATATAAACAAAGAACGAGAATGCACATAAATATTTCTACGTTATTATTGAAGGGAGATAAATAATTATAAGAATGGAGATAAAATCAAAAATTGGTTTATAACCTAACCTAAAAAAAAATAAGTAGACTTGTCTAAACATTCTTGGCTCTTTGACTGAGTATAAAAGACAAAATAGGAATGTCTATATTTTACAGGCGCTGAAACTTGGCATATATGTGAGACATAGTCTGGAAGAATACATAGGGTACTAATTAAGGTTTTTCTTATTCCGTGCAGACGGAGTCACGGGCGGCAGCTTTTTACTATAATCGGAACATTATGTCTAGTTATTCGTGAATATAACGTTAAGTGGGGCAGTGAGTGCCAATTTAATTAAGCATGACTCTGAGTATGACAGACTCATGAAATGTAACACTTATTATATTTAAAATAATATAAGATATTTTTTTATAAACAAAAGACAAAATAGGAATGTCTATATTTTACAGGCGGTATGAACAAATAATAGGGAACTTGCGAATACGGGGCGCAGATATCGTCATGGGTTATTAACGAGTCGATCGATATGGTATGCAGCAAAGTTGACCTTCCGCAGCCGATGTCAATACGAGTACTAAAGCTTTATGGCGTGACATAAAGACGATTGACCCAGCGATATATAAAATATCTAAAGCGACTAACACCAGTAGAAATTCTTATGTCGAATTATTCATGGTATATTTGTGTGATTGTTAGTAGCCACCGATCTTGAACTTTTGTGTAGAGTTGGAGTCGAACACCAGACCAGTGGAATAAAAGCTGTATTGTTGTAGTAAAACACAACTTGACAATATAGCTGACTGAAGGTCGATCAAAAAGGTAATAATTGGCGATGTAAATGCGAACTGTGATAAATATGTACAAAACACATCTTGTATTTGCAGTAAATGTTAAGACAATAAACGGTTGAAAAGCAAACTTATGAAACAACGCCACAATAGATACGACAATAATGGCCATATAATACACTCGTAAAAGGAATGTAGAAAGATAAGATTGCGTGTATTAGAACAAAAAGGGCAATGGCTAGTCTAGTGTTAAATTATTTGTTTTTTTTTAAATGACTCGTATGTTATTAACACTCGGATACAACGTTCAAAGCAAAAGCTATAGCTAGCTAGTATAGCGAAACAAGAAGCAAAATATAATAATTTTCTGGATTATTCTATGGACGTTGCCAAAACCTTGGCTTGTCTACGGTCGCGTAGGCGTCAGGACCTCGGCTTGTAAGGGTCAACAATTTGACCATGCAATGTACTTGGCGCCTACTACATTAAATTTTTTTACCAAAGTAATTGTATCCAGTTACGTTACTAGAACACCGATTTTATTTCCTTGACAATTTAGTTGTAACAAATTTTAAAACGATTTTATCCAGTCTTTTTACTGTTTTACTATCTTCTCGCGTTATAAATACTATCACAAAAATTCCCACGGACAAAGCTAGTATCTTAAATCAGATAAAGAAATAATATCACCGATATGTCAAGTAAAATGTAGGCGTGGTGAGTGACGCCGTCTAGTCAAAGGTTTGTTTGTGCCAAACTTTCAAACAACTCATTAAATATCGTCACTGATAGACATCCGTAATTTGACATCTAAATGCGACGAAGGGGCAAAAGAGTAATAACAAAGTGAACAGAGGTATGCCGCTTAGTAGAAGAAATCCTCACTGAGGAACCGCTAAGAACTCGAACGACTATGTGATGCAGTAATATTCATCTATAGTTTTAAACGCGCGAATGGCGCGCTTTCGTTACCAAATCAAGTGTCATAATGATTAGTAAGGGGACATAAACTCCGACATTTTAGTAAGGCTAGTGTTGCGCTAGCATACCGGCACAGTGCCGGATTTTCTTCCTGACAATAGTAATTAACAATCATTAGTACTGGAGTAAAAACACTTCTCTTACGCCTTACTTTCTGTTTTATTTATGTCGTCTATTTTCGATACTGGCGCGGTGTATTTCAGTGTTGGTTTATTTCAGACCGCATTGTTTGTGTTGAGCGGGGTACTGGGTGCGGGGGCGCTGGCGTTCGCTTGCAATCTCATTTATTTTAGAACAGCTTGTAAATAGTACAAGTAAATAATCATTTCAAATTAACAAATATTACTCAGGGCTCTTTGCTGTCTAAATGAAGAATAAAATCGAACGAATAGAGTTAGGACAGTATTTTTTAAATCTTATTCCTATGTATACGTATTTATGACAAAGGTGTAAATCCTTTTATCTAATCTAGAGAATTAAAAGACTCGGTGCGTATCGGTATTGATAAAGTAAATAATTTGAAATAGACATTCATTAGAAGATTTTCACAATTGAATTTAATGTTAAAATGTCTTAACACTACGATGATAACTCAAAGCCTTGTTATTTTCTGAATAGGTTAAACTAACTTTTTAACATCGTACTCTGTTCGTATCAACGACCAGCTCAAAGAAAGCCTGTGCGTGATATCACATATAATAAAAATAACTCAGTTCAAAAACTTTATAATCAGAAAGTCAGAAAACTAAAAAGAAAGGACAGATGTTCTCCTACTTAATATTAAGTTTACTATAGTTAAATGCCAAAGTTTTTCCACGAACTATTCAAGTTTAGTGAATTTTAATCTGCCATTAGACATTTTTCGATTGATACTTTTCGAATACTATGAATTATAATCAGATAGATTTTTTTTATTATATATCAAGAGTT